TCTCCTCCCGAGCCGGGGGGCGGTTGGGGGAATGGGGGGAGGTTTCCCGGGGTATGAGCGCCTTGCTTAGGTTTTGTCCTTAAACCCACCCAAATTCTGCTTCCCCGGTGAGGTTTCTGTCTTAATCCAGGTATTTTGCTTTCCTACTTGGCGAAAGCTGCAATTAATACCTGGAGAATGGAAGCTGGGGCGTTATCATGAATAAACATCACTTTCCTGCACAGTAACTGATGTTCTTTCCCCATTTCCTTTTGGTAGATGAGGAATTTTGATGATAGGGAGACTTCTCCTTTGGGTATATCCATGGTCTCGGCTCTAAACCTGTTCCTGATGCAGGTAGTCTCAGGAGACTTAAAATTTGCTGAAGCTTTCAGGCTACTCAGTTTGTGTTTTAACTCCCTCAAACACTGTGGTTTTGGTTGATCAGGGTTCCTGTTGGTCAGGGCCAGAAAGGGGCAACACGCTGATGGTTGTTTCAGGTTGTTCTGGTCAAAAGCCATAAGACTGTTGTTGCCAGGGCTGTAGTACAGCGTTCACTGACACGACTGACTTACAGCAGAGGAAAACCCAGTCAACACAACCTAAACATCTGAAAAAGCAAAACAAGCACCACTAAATCCCTGCAAATTCCCTTCGGTGTCCCCCAACAAGAATGTGGGTATTTGTCAGGGCCCGATTTGAACAAGGAACTTAAGCGGGACAGTAAATACCCCGAACCAAACCACTGCTTTTGTTCTGATGTTGAGGGTCAGATTGTCCTGCTGGGGAAGGAAAGATGTTGGAAGTTGCCACAAAACTTAGTTAAAATGAATGATGTTTCTTCTCTCTGCAGAGTCGGGCGCAGCTGTCTGTGAGTTCTTTTTAAAAGCGGCCTGTGGAAAAGGCAAGTAGAGTTTCCAGTGGAGTTATGGGGGTGGAGGGAGGGAAACCACATTATTCTAGCACTGCCTACGGTTCTCCTGTGTTTTTAAAGACGAGGGGACTGCCTGGATTGAGGATAAGACTGAAGGATGCTGGAATAACTGCAGCAATTGGGAAATAATGGTATTAAGAAGTCGGGAGGTGAATAAGCGATGCAACCGGCAAAGGAAGGTTTCAGCGTGCCACACACAGACCTTGCTGTGGGTGTGCTGGTGTTAGTTGCTGTGGTTCTTGGTAGTCGGGATTCTCCCAAGAAACAAGGGATAGGACCAGAGGAAATGGCCTCAGGCTATACTAGGGGAGGTTTAGATTGGACATTAGGAACAATTCGTTCACTGAAAAGGTGCTCAGGCTGCCTGGGGCAGTGCTGGAGTCACTGTCCTTGGAAGTGTTCACACACCGTGTAGACGAGGCCCTCAGTGCCATGGGTTAGCAGTGGCCTTGGCAGCGCTGGGCAGTGGTTGGGCTTGATCTAAAAGGTCTTTTCCAACCTGACTGAATCTATGATTAAGAGCTGGAGACTGTTGCTTAGCCTGTTAGAAGGTAACATAAGACTCACCTGGAACTCCCTCTTTTGCTATTGCCACTAAAGGCTAAATTCCTATTATAAAGTGATGTCTTCAAACCCCCTCTTGCAGAGGGGAACAAAGTGTTGCTATTGCCCTGTGCCACCTTGTGCAGTGTATTTTATTTGTTCTTCTTCCCTTTCTCCTTGCCCTGTCCTTCCTCAGGGGGCATGTGCCCATTCCGACACATCAGTGGGGAAAAGACAGTTGTCTGCAAACACTGGCTACGAGGACTGTGCAAAAAGGGAGACCAGTGCGAGTTTCTACACGAGTATGACATGACCAAGATGCCTGAGTGTTACTTCTACTCCAAATTTGGTAAGAGGTGTTGTAGCTCCTACTTAGCATTCCTTGCTGGCGTGGGAGTCTGGTGAAGAAGATCCTGGTACATCCCTGTTATCCATCTGCAGAGTGTTACAGTTCTTTTCTGTTTGATGATAGTAGACCATAATGTTTTCAGATCTTCTTAGTCCTCTACTTTATTATCCCCCTAAATTTGTGACATATTATAGATGTCTCCTCTCTCAAGAGCTTGTTCCTTGGGGGAAGAGGTGGGAAGTTCAAGTTTTGACTGGGTTTTATGCCTTATGTTCTCTTTGGGTATGAGATGAGTAGGCTGAGCAGTTGGTCTTTGCATGACTCTTATTTTGGGGAGTTGATGAGCAGCAGAGGGCATGGGGGTGCAAAACTTTTATGCACTTGCTTTCCAGCTCTGGAGATCTGGACATAATGAGGCAACTTGCTGTCAGAAACTTACAGTCTTGTAGGTTTCCTTGGATTGAGGTTAGTGTGCAATTTGTAGTTTCTCCACACTTCTGGTGCACTAAATGTTTGGTTTTTGTTACCATGACTGCTCTTTCCAGTTTAGTTTCTGCATTGTTTTTAAAAGCACACATACATAATCCAGCCTGGTAGAACTGTGCTCACCAAGGGTGAGTCCTTGGTGTTCTTCATCTAGGTTAAGGCAGGCAGTATGACTGCTGTGCCTGAATTTATCCATGTTGGTAGCAGCTTTGTGGGAGCTACATGAGCCAGGAAGCGTTTTGAGAGTCAGTTGATCTTGAACCTGCACAACTGAGTAAGAATTGTGTTTGCCTTTGGTACAGGGGAATGCAGTAACAAAGAATGCCCATTCTTGCACATTGACCCGGAGTCTAAGATCAAAGACTGTCCCTGGTATGACAGAGGCTTCTGTAAACATGGTATGTCACACAGTAGCTGCTTCTGTGGCTATAAATCAAGGGTAGGGTGTTACTATTCTTTCTTTGGGTGATCTGCTTGTGTACTTGCTACTGCTGCGTGCTGGGGTACCCGTACGTGGAACATGAACTACTGAGCTTTGTGTTGCAGGTCCCCTCTGCAGACACCGGCACACTCGAAGAGTCATTTGTGTGAATTATCTAGTAGGATTCTGTCCAGAGGGGCCTAGCTGTAAATTCATGCAGTGAGTATGCTTCCAGGCTCGTCCTGTCATCTTATGTTTCCTTTGTAAGCTGGTCTGTGTCAAACAAGGGTGCTCCAGTGCTTCCCAGTGGCTTTGGAGATTTGTTTAGTGTCTTGTACCAATCTAAGGATATGGGGCAGGGCCTCTTCAGGGTAACACACTTCAGAGTGGAGATCGGATCCCATCAGTGCAGTGGGATCACATGGGTTTATCATAGAATCCCAGACTGGTTTGGGTGGGAAGGGACCTTAAAGCTCATCCAGCTCCAACCCCTGCCACGGGCAGGGACACCTTCCACTAGAGCAGGTTGCTCCAAGCCCCTGTGTCCAACCTGGCCTTGAACACTGCCAGGGATGGGGCAGCCCCAGCTTCTCTGGGCACCCTGTGCCAGCGCCTCAGCACCCTCACAGGGAAGAACTTCCTAACATCTCATCTAAATCTTATATTCATTCACAGCTAGAGGGTTATACTACATACCAGATTCTCATTTTCCTATAAATAATTGCTGAGCATCAGAATGCAAAGAGGACTGGGGAGGGGGAAGTGTGTTTCCTGTGAGCTGAATTGACTTGCCTAAGTGTTTGGTTGTTTGGAATTAATTGAGCTGATGGTAAAGTGTTGACCTATGATTTGAGAATCAATTTTCTTGTTCCCTCTAACCCAGCCCTCGATTTGAACTGCCAATGGGAACCACAGAGCAACCACCACTGCCTCAACCGACACAAACGCAGCAAAAGGTACACAATTCCCATCTCCCCTGCACACCTACCTGTAAAGCATTGCCCACAGTGCTCCGAAAGAGAGTGTATTGTCTAGCAGTCAAAACTGTTGGAAAGTCTTGGAGAAACACTCACTGAATGAGGGAAAACCTTATCTATTTTACGACAGGATATGATATTCTTTTGTATTTAAGAACTTGGAGAACAAATCGTAATCTATCACAGAGCACTCTCCTCCTTCCAGCCCTCTAATGTGCACCATCTGATCACAGCAGACTCGTTGCTGCCTTCATCCTGGGACTGTGGGGCTTTGCTTTGTTCTGTTTCTCCCCTTGCTTTAGTTAACCTCAGTCACTGGTGCTGTCCTGCAGCTCAGAGGCCAACAGCAGCAGTAATGTTAGTTGGGGCGCTGCCTGGAAGAGATGGTGCAATGCAAGAACAAAGCAGTGAGCAACACTGAGTGCCATTAGAGTGATGGAAGCCCTACCATTGCTCCAACTTTATGTGGAGATGTAGTCACAGAACACTCCCACATGACATAGAAGCACATCATACGTGGTTGTGCAGCAATCTGCCAATTTTTGTAATCTCTCTGATATCTGTCAGTGATGACAAAGGATATTTTAGCAGCCTAAACCTACTCCCTAAATCTGCTTTCCAGAGAAAAACAGGATTGCTGGGCTTTGTAAGCCTCAGTGCTCCATTTCTTCTTTATGCTGCTCCAGCTGGCAGAGCACCCACACATAGATTTGGAAAAAAATTGATCATTTGGTGCATGAGGTGCTCTTTTCCCTTCTAACAAAGTAACAACCATAAAGTTCTTTATCCTTGATGCACTTAACGAGCCAGAACTCTTCTCCTGACCAACAGAGGACACCCCAAGTCATCGGAGTAATGCAGTCTCAAAATAACAATGCTGGGAACAGAGGACCCCGGCCGTTGGAGCAGGTCACCTGCTACAAGGTAGGTCAGAGGGGAGGGAAAACAGGAGGTGCTGGATTTAGGAAGAACAGAGCGCATATCCCAGCACCCTGTCCAGCTGAATCTAAACAGAATCCAGTGTTGGGGAATCCACCACTTCCCTGGGAGATTATTCTAATGGCTGGTTTTTCTCATTGTGAGTTATTTTCCTCTTGTGTCCAGTGGGAATCTCCCCAGGAGGAACTTGTACCCATCATCCCTCATCCTTTCCATGTGACTCCTTGTAAAAAGGAGCATCTGTCTTCTTTGTAGCCACCTTTTAAATACTGGAACATGGAGATAAGGTCCCCCCTGAGCCTTCTTTTCTCTAGGCTGAACAAGCCCAGCTCTGTCAGCCTTTACTTTGTGTGGCTTCCCAGTCCTTGGAACTTTGTGGCCCTTCTCTGGACCCTCTCCAGCCTGTCCACATCCTTTTTGCATAGTGGGGACCAAAACTGAACCCACTATTCCAGGTGTGGCCTGACATGTGTCAAGTAAAGTGGGATAATGACTCCTGTATCTCTGCTGGTGATGCCCTAATTCAGGATGGCTGATTGGGAGAATCCCACACATCTCTGATGTAGTGCCTATCAGGTGGAGTAGTCTTGGAAGCTTCTTGTGTGTTACAGCCCTTTGCTGTTCGTAGTGGTGTGCTGAGAGCTCTCTCCTCTGTAGTACAATAATGTGACATCACATTGCTCCCAGCACAGAAGCAGCTTTTGCTCCAAAGAGTGGAAATAGCCCATAAATCTTGTCCCTTGTGACTCTGTTTCACTTCCCCTGCAAAATGCTGCATCTTCCATACATGTAATCTGAACAGTTGCCGCCAGAGCTGTAACTGTGTAATAATTGCTCTCTTTTTCTCTTTTAGTGTGGTGAAAAAGGTCATTATGCCAACAGATGCACCAAAGGACATCTGGCCTTTCTCAGTGGACAGTGAAAGAGCAGAACGAAGAGTGCAAGGGAGCTATTAACACTGAGAAAAGGTTTCTGCCTAGCGCTATGTCTTGAACTGTTAATCAGGGGGGTTTTTTAATGCCATTACTGAAAGAACTGGTCAGAGGCTGGCTGCTGCTAAGCAACATTTTTGTAACTGTCCATAACTTTTTTGTTTTATGTTTTAACCTTTTTAAAATAGATTTTGGCCTCTGCCTCTCTTCACTGGGCCCTGCTGAAAGGTTGATCTAAAAGCCAATAGATATGCAAACCCCTCACTGGTGCAGCACTCTACCTAAACACATCTTCTGCCAGTGTTTCTTTAAAGTGTTTTCCTTCTGCCACTTCTCTTTGGGGAACCTATGGAAGCAGGCAGATTGACTGGGAAAACTAATACTTGAAATGCCTTCCCTTCAGTGAGGAAGCAGGGATTTTGCTGTCCTGTAGCTCTTAAAAAGCAAAGCTGTGTTCCCAGGTCCAGCCTGTTGTAGTCGATAAGCTTGTCCTGGTGGCTCACTTAAGGCTTCACGTACGTGAGGCTGTAAAACTCTCATCCACTTGCTTTGTTTCTGTGCTTCTTGCTATGCTGAAGGTTAGAAATTCATCTTCTGGGTGAGACCTGATCGAGGGGAGAATAGATTGGCATCTCTGTGGTTAGCCAAACCGTGAGGAACAATGATTATAGGAACGCCATGTCTGTGCTCGTGTTCCATTTGCAAACAGCGAGCGGAAATGAGCACAGCTCGAAGAGTAGGAATAGAAGAGCCTTGTCTCAGCCCCCGCGACGTCCAGCTCACACTGAGCAGGTATTTCCATAGCCTAGAGAAGACTGAGAAGTGGAGATGTATATTCTTATGGAACACTGCTTTTAAAAGTGGTAGAGTGTTCCGAGAGCAATTTTTGTAGCCAAACCCCTTTCATTTTGTGAGAAGATTATTTCAAAAGGGCCAATGATAAAATGTCAATTAAAAACAAGGAAAAAAAAAAGTACCTACAATGTGAGCCTTATTGATTCTGAGCCCTCTCCTTTGCTGCCTTTTTACTTTGTTTTTATTGAAATGTACTGATGGAAAAAGCTGGCTGTGAATTTCTTTTCTTGTACGAACAAGGCGATATGCCTGGATGAAGTGACCAGAGCACCTTGGTTTGAGTGACTGCTGTTATTTCACTGTGGAGAGTCGGTCACAACAGATGTTTCAAGTCCAAGTGACCATGGTGGGACAGACCATTGGATGCTTCTTGTAAGACCTTGTGCCTGCAGAGGCTGAGCAGTGGTTGAACTATGTGTTAACTGTGTGTAACTGGGCACGTGGAAAGGGAGCGGAACACTTTGGTACCTCATCACCTTCCCCATGCAGTTGAGTTTATGGTCTTCTCTACCTGAACAGATGCTTCCCAAACCTGAAAGCCGCCTTCCTGTTACCACCAAAGCTCTTGAGAGACAGTTCACATCCCTTAAGAAGCGGCTTTCCCTCTCCCTCTTGGTTAGAAAAGGATACTGCAGGTTGCACCTGCAGCTGCAAGCATTGGCAGGTAATGTGGTGGTGGTAGGACGTGCTTGCTGAGTGGACCAAACCCTCATATGCTCCTTTAAGCTGCACTCACAAACATTGTGTCTCCTCTTAAAACTTCCCACTTGAAGCCAAGCAACAAAGTTTTCCTTTTAATACAAGCTTATCCCCATTCAGAAGAACCTTCCAACTTCTTTCTGCAAAGAAAGTGAAGTTTTGACAGAAATATCAGGTTGTCAGAGGTCAGAAGCATTAGAATCCCAGTGACAGAATGGGAACTGCAGGCTTCCTCCAAGCTAAACCATCTGGAAACTGCCCAAATACCTGCAGCCCCCAGGTGACAGCCTGACCAAGGATCAGAAACACGTGGCCAGCCCAACAAGCCACCAAAGCTCAGATACTGTTCTTTCAAATCAAAATACACCCTTGCAGCTACTTGTCCAGCCTGTACCTAATGGCTATTAAGAAGCAATCCAATGCTTTTTACTTTTATCCAACAGTTAGGATCAGGTGTCATGGTTGCCCCAGTTCCTAATGCAACCCAAGCAACAGATGCTTTCCCAACCCTTAGACTTCAGGGGTGAAACCCTGAGAAGCCAAAACCTCACTTGCAGAGTACAATGAACAAGTCAGTTACGAGACTGTCAGCTCAGTAAATGTAAAGTGTCTGCACTTTATTATTGGTCATAAGAGTACAGATTTTAGTATGAATAGTTCTGATGTCTTCTTCTGATGTCAGGGTAACTGTTCAGTAGCCAGGTCTGGTCCAGAGTTGTACCTTCACTTCCTGAAAGTCACTCTTCAGTGGTACTTCCTGCGGCGCTCGTGCTCTGCAGCATTCGAAACAAAGCAGGTTAGTTTTACTGAAGTCACAAGAAAACCCACACCACACCTGAAATTACAGCAAAGAAAGCACTCTAAGGACAAATCTGAGCATGTAGCTTCTAAGTGCCATCAGGTCAGACAAGCAACAAGATCTACATCACCAAGAAAACATTGGCCATCTGATAAGTAAATATTCTAGTGTTTCATGGCTAAAAGAAGCCTGCTTGCCCACAGGCTGGGATTCAAGCAGCAATGGTTTGCATAGTTTTCCATAGCAGCAGCAGCAGTGTGTTTCTATTGCCCCAAGCAACCTCCCAAGCCACACTATACACGTACAGTCACATTGCTTTTACTTACTCAGGTGGCTGTAGCTCCAGATGTAGCTGATAACAACATAACCAGCAAGCACCATGGAGATGCCACCCAGGCCCCCTTTCTTCACATCGATGTACTTATTGTAGTATCTGTCGTAACCTGTGGAGGAAGAGTTACACACTGTTCCGTGTCTGAAAGCAGCAGCTTGGTTCCACAGAACTTAGGTAAATGGTTTCTAAGGAACCATCTGAGGGGCTCATAAGTGAGGCTGAGAGAAGGCAACCTGTGTGTTAGTTAAGCCAGGTGAACACAAGTTAATTGTGCTAAACCTTACTAAAAGGAAAAAAGCTATTTATCATTCTCCCCTAAACATTAATTATTATGACTTTCATGAGCTCAAGCTGCTTTGGAATTACTGAATTATTTCATACACACATATATATTACGTAGACACTTGCATTTGCTGTTTTGTGTTTAACTCACATTTGATACTTCATGTTTAAATGGGTTCAAACTTAAACAGGGAAAGTTCAGGTTAGATATTAGGCAGAAGTTCTTCCCTGTGAGGGTGCTGAGGCGCTGGCACAGGGTGCCCAGAGAAGCTGGGGCTGCCCCATCCCTGGCAGTGTTCAAGGCCAGGTTGGACACAGGAGCTTGGAGCAACCTGCTCTAGTGGAAGGTGTCCCTGCCTGTGGCAAGAGCTGGAGCTGGATGATTTTAAGGTCCTTTCCAACCCTGTCTATTCCATATTCTAAATCTAATCTAAATGCCATAGCATCCAATCTACATAGCACAGATACAATCTACAGCAAAGGGCATCAATCAAAACTTACACAAAAAGGAATCCCGAAACCAAACCTCTGGCGGATAAAGCCCAGACAAGAAACACATCCACAGATGGGAGAACCCGATGCTAAAGGAGGCGCTGTTCCGGGAAAGCAAGAAGCACCTGGAAGCAGCCCCTGTAGTA